GGGGTGGCCGCGCAGATCCGTCTTTTGCGGGATTCCCTCTGCCGCCTCCTCGCGACCCCTCACCCCGCGCGCCTCGCCGTCATCGGCCCGGCTGAGCTTTCCCATCTCTTTCTGAATGCCGCGCGGGCGGTCGGGGAGGGGCTCGCCGGGGCCCTCACGACCCTCCTTCCATCCTTTCTCGCCGCGGTTGGGATGGCGGGGGGGCTGTTGTACATTTCCCTCCCACTCACGCTGGGGATTGCGGGGGGGCTGGGAGTCGTGCAGGGGGTAGAGACCGTCCTGGGCCGGGGGCACCCCACCCGGGACGCCGAGGTGGCCGCCCACGAGGCCGCCCTCCACGACGCCGTGGCGAACCTCATCCAGCGCGGCGAGACGATCGTCCTCGCGGAGTGCGAGGGCTTCGTCCTGGGCCGGCTGCAGGCCCGGCTGCGCGAGTTTGGCCGTTTGCGCATGGGCCTCCATCGCGCCATCCACGGCACCGCCGCCTTCTTCTCCGTCGCCCTGACGCTGGTGTTTGTGGGGATGTTGGGGGTGCTGAAGCACCTGAGCCTGCGGGGGGACCTGCTGTGGATGGACATCGCCCTCTACGTGGTGTGCCTCTACCAGTTCGTGGAGCGGGTCCGGGGGCTGAGTCGGGAATGGGGCCGCATGCGGCGCGGGTTGGGCTGCCTGGAAACCCTCCAGGACACCTTGGGATGGCTTCACGAGACGATAGGGGCAGCGGATGGGGGGTGTTCGCTGCGAATCGTGAAGCCGGAGGAGGAAACGGAAGGGGAGGGGAAGGACAAGAGGAGGAAGCTTAACGGCGAGGATCCTTCGTCTCAGGCGCCGCGGGATGGAGGAACGGTTACTGAGCTGAGGAAGGTCGAGTCCGGTGAAATCGTCCGGGGGGAAATCCTTTCAAAAGAGCCGGCGAAGGGGGGGGCTTCTTTTTCTGCTTCACCGGCGATATTGATCTTTCACGAGAGCGCGCGGGCGGATCTAGAGCTTCAAAAGGTCAGTTACACGTACTGCGAGGCACCGGCGTTTCTCAGGTTAAATTCTTCGTTGTCTTCGTCGGGAGTGAAAAGGGGCATCCGTGATGTCAGCCTGCGCGCTGCAGCGGGGCGTATAACTTCGCTTTACGGCCCGAGCGGAAGTGGAAAGAGCACCTGTTTACGGCTTCTTTGCGGCTTTTTGCGTCCTTCGAGCGGGGTCGTTCATTCCCAACGTCGCGCTCTCCTTCTCGAGCAGCACCACGCCCTTTTCCTTGGCAGCGTCGCCGAAAACATCCTTCTTAAAGATCTAAGCACCTTGGTCGCTTCGAAAGGGGGGGAATTCGTAAAAAAAAACTCCAAAGTCGTCGAGGAAGAGACCTTTTCCGAGATCGAGAAACGGTTAAACACAGCGATGCACGAAGCAGGATGCAACCACTTCATAACTGATGCTTTTAATACCCATATTCATAACGCCAACCATCCTCCTTTTAGCGGTGGCCAACTTCAACGGATTTGCCTTGCGCGAGTTTTCGATCGATCTCAATCCTGCTCGTTAATCCTGTTGGATGAGCCCACGGTTGGTCTGGATGTCGCCACTGTTGAGCAGCTTTTGATTATGATTAAGAAACTGAGAGATGTGTATAACAAAACGGTTTTAATCTCTACGCATGATGAACGTGTTGCGTCGATTTCGGATGCGGTGATTCATTTGTCTGTCACAAATTCAATACTTTAGGGAAAGGAAGTACCATAGGTAGATTTTTGATTTCAACTTCTATTTTTTTTTCCCTGTTGTATCATAATACCTTTTTCCTTCTGTTTTCCTCGTCGAGATTTCGCGTTAAGCATACCAGAAAAAGGGGAAAAATGAGGTAAAAATAAATATGAGTCATATAGAAGGATGAGGGAACTCCATCTACAATAAAAGAATTATCTGCTCTTAGTGTGGGGCAGTGACATTATTAGAACCACATTTGTTTTCGATTGATAACAATATTTTCAAATGTTTACCTTGTGTTTCATATCGGTTTATTAAGCTACAGTCTAAAGTCTTACATTTGCTTAGTTTATTTCTAAGTATCATTCTAACTGGAATGAAATTTGAAACCATTCGTTTTTGTGTGTATTTTTCGACAAGGCTATATGAATTTAATGACCCTATGACAAAAACGTTTTTTTTCGTCTACTCACAATTATTTTGCTTTAAACATTTCAGCATTTTCTATTCATAATAAAAATAAGAAAAGCTGTTTAGTTTATTATTCCTTACCATAATTTTCATCTTCCTTACAAATATATCAGATGATTCTTCTCTTGGAAATATTATTCTCTTAACCATAGAATGACGTGCCCTACGTTGTGTGTAGCACCGAAGGCGACCTTAAGGAAGTGTATCTAAAAACAAAATAATAAGAAACGTAAGGTTAATACAAAAATTAACTACTTTGGTTTTTATTTTCCGTATATTAAGACTGGAATAGTTGTTAATGTATGGATATATCTTAATATTTATACCCCATTGATATTACCTTTTCCTCTGATTTTAGTCTAGATTCAGGATCAATAAATAAATAGATAGAATTTTATCATGCAACGCTTGACTCATGAGAGGCAATCGGGGTGTGTTAAAAGGAGAGATTCCGTTGTTTCCATCACCTCCATCAGCATTCCCGCGGATAAGCATTCAGAAAATACCTCCTGTGTGAATTCCGGTGGCAATAGCATCGCTTCCCCCAAAGAGATGTTAACTAATAGCAGTTCTCCCGGGATTCTTTCGAATATACAACCCGTTTCGCGAAAGTTATTGCAGACGCCGCCCTCCTCTCACCTCAAGCGCTTGTCTTCGATCACAAAATTTAGAGATCTAAAGGAGGTCCCCCAGCAAGAGGGTGATGATACTCTATCTCTTGCCAGCACATGGATAGCCCCTTTGCGAAAGATTCACGCCCCTCGCACGGGAAGGAATAATTCCCAGCTTTTCGGTTCCTTTTCCACGCGCACGCGCATGGAGGTTGATTATTCCAAAAACTATTCAACCTACCGTCAAATAATGGAAAAGGCGATGCAAATTTCGAACGAGATGCGAAAGAAGGTGAACACAATCGCGCAGGTCGGGGAGGAGCAACGGATCCTTTCCTCTTACAGGCATACTCATCCGACGGTTCAAGTCTCTTCCTCGTTATCGTTACGAAATGATCTGTCAGAGCGGCCGAAATCGATGGAGCGGCTGACCAAGACTTCGAGTTCGTTTTTTGACATCCGAGACAGCCTCGGGGGTGGGGAATCGAACGGGGGGATACTGTCCAACCAGGACGACCAGCACGCCGTGCAGGCGCAGGTTGAGGAGAAGTGCGCGAAGTTGTCGAAGCTGCGGGCCTACCAGCGCCGGATCATCCTATCTGAGGATCTCCAGTTTGATCCCAATTTTAACGCCTCCTTTTTTAGCCACCACGCGGAGTGCCATAGCGCGACGAAGATCCCCCCCCCCCTGTTCCTCTGACATCGCCGCGGGGTGC